TAGGAGTTTCATGGTTTCAGGTCTTACATTCAAGTCTGTAATCCATTGTGAGTTAGTTTTCGTGTTGGTATAAGATAATTTTGTGTATGGTTTCATTCTTTTGCATGTAGCTGTCCAGTTTTCCCAACACCATTTATTGAAGAGACTGTCCTTTCCCCATTGTATATTCTTGCCTCCTTTGTTGTTAAACAATAATAATAAAGGTCTTATTATCTTTTAGTTTGATGAGCAAAATTGTGTTTACCTTTTCCTTCCTGGTCTTACAGCTTCAGTTCTGGGTATCTTCTCCTCCCTCCCCACCTTCATAGGCAGGCGCTGCTGGAGATGCAGGCCCCGTAAGCTGCTCCTGCCCCATCACTGATGCGACTCTTAGTCTTCTGGTCTGTGTATTGCATGCAGGTGGATGTTGGTTGGAGTGAACAAGATTTATTTGCCTCTCTCTTTTTTTTCTTCTTTTTCTTTTCCAAGCCCATCTATTTCCCTTCCCCGCTGGGTGGCTCAGGGTGCCCTGTTGGCTAGAATTTGGAAACTGGCTGCCTCACTCTTTCACCTGCCCCGGCCTATGTCTCTCCTCTTCTTGACTTCTGTTGACCTCCTGTTCCCACTCCGCTAGTTCCTCCCTCACGGTACTGTCACTGCACTACTGCTCCTGGCTTCCCCTCACTGGGTGAGTTTGTGTGACCTTCACACTGCATTCATGCTTCGGGACTTAGCCACTGCAATGATGTCAGTAGTGCAGGTTAGCAGATGGCAGCGGCAGCAATGAGACCTGACATGTTCTAATGACTCCCTCCTTCCCGTCCTTGCTGGCCAAGCCAATGGAGGGGCAGGGGTTTCCTTGAAGCATTTTAGGAGGGGGCTAAGGGAAATCAGGTTTGGGGGGGCTCCCAGGTGCTGATGAGGCCTGTGACCTTTGCTGCTATAATATCAGTGTTTCACAAGTGGGGCGGTTTAGGAGCCCACTTGCAGCCCATCAAAAATTGATTTAATTGCAATTTTTCCTCCAATTAGGAGCACTGGAGCCTGACTAATTGGAGTAATAGAGAGTAATAAGGCTCAGATAAAAAGCCTTCCTCGGCGGCCTTTGTATCTCGTGTCAGTGCCTGTCAGAGGTCAGAGAGCTTGCATATTCTATTAGGCAGCCCAGCCTTCATTTGTACAAATTAGTTTACCCAACAGTAATTAAAATGCCAATGCGGGTTGAAGAGAACTGAATACACTTGATGGGCATGTTGGTGAATGATGTGACAGCTCTGGTGGCCTCCCTTGCCAAAGTGTGTCAACCTCGGCTCAGAGGCGGCTGGGGCTCGGGCCAGCTGGGCGGCTCCGGGCCAGCCACGGGGCACAGCTGCTGAGCACGCCACTCTGTCTCTCCTTTCATCTTCCAGGTGGAGTCATTTGTTCATTTGTCCATTCATTCATTCAACAAGCATTTGAGGTTTCAGTGTGTGTCAGGCATTATACTAGGTGCTGGGGAGAGAACTTATGTGGCAAGGGGTATAAAACCACTTGGGCTCTGGAATCAAGACTGACTGGGTTCAAATTCCAGTCCTCCTACTTGCTCCCTGTGTGAGCTAGAGCAGCTGACGTTACTGCTCTGTGCCTCAGTTTCCTCGTCTGTAAAACAGGGAAAGTAAGACCTACTGCACCGGGTTATGAAGATTAGATAGACCAATGCTTTTGAAACACTTGCTCAGAACCTGGCACCTAGCAAGTGCTCAATAAATTACTCACACCCAACTAATTTCCCTCTTACCTTCCTCTCTCTTCTGTATTTTGTTATTTTCTATTCCTGCTGTCCTGATGTGAGGGCTCCTATGTCTACTGCTTGGGCCTGATAATGATCTCTGTGATGCCAGGTTTACCTGACCCGGGGGCAGGGGGCCAGTAAGGTAGGTAGGGGATTTCGGCACAGAATGAGAAACTGTAGAAGACTGGCTCCTGGTAAGGGCTCTCTTGTCCAAAAAGAGTATAGTTTATGGAGTCAGAATGACTTTTAGACCCTCAGGGTGGGTTGGTGGGCAGGAATAGATTCAGGCTCCAGGTGCCTACCATCTCTCTCTGTTGTGCATTTGCATGTGTGAGACGAGAGAGTTTTGACATTAATTTTTAGGTACTGTTGGTATTTCTCATCTATTATCTGGTTGTGGTGCTTATTTCACTGCCCCAATGATATACAACAGTATATCATTGTCATGTGTCATTCAGGTCTGAGTCTGCTGATTTGGGAATTACTCCTTTAAGAAGCAGAGGGACCCCATTCATAGCCCATGACTAGCTTCTTGGCCTTGTTGGCCATGAGCTCTGGAAGGCCCTTTCAGTTCAAGTCCACAGATTTGTCCTGAGCACTTCTTCTGGGTCAGGCACTCTGCTGGTCACTGGAATACACAAAAGAGCCACCAGCTATTTCATGATCTCAAAGGTAACATGGGAAGATAATCTCCCAAAAGGCCATTTGTCCCAAGAAGGTGAGATCCAAGTGTGGTAGGGACTCAGAGGAAGATGGCCAAGCCATCTGGGAGCCAGCAGCTCTGCCTCTGCTGTCCCTGTCCCCAGGCGGCCCCATGGTTTGAGTTTGAATCCTGCTGAGTATCCCCAGCAGAACCTGGCTCCAGATATGCTTGACTGTTGCTTGACTGTTTTTTTTGCTGTGTCATATTTGATTAAACTCTTCGTGCCAGGCGGACTCTCTGCTTCCCCTCCTTCCCTTCCTCCCTGCTTCACATGGTGAAGTGAGGGGAAGACAGCTTGTGGGAAGAAACGTTCCCCCTGCGTGTCATAACCAGACAGTTAAGAAAGGCCTTCGTGGGGCATGAAGTTGAGAGGCACCCCTCCTGGTGGCAGATGGACAGGGCCAGGGTGGGTTGGTGGGCAGGAATAGAGAAGCAGAGGAGTCCCAGGGCAAAGTGTTCCATCCCCACCCCTGCCTGCTGGGAGGTCAGAGCTGTGGGAGTGGCAGGGATTCAGGCTCCAGGTGCCTACCATCTCTCTCTGTTGACTGACCTTGATGCTCATTCAGGCCTGTGGCGGGGCAGAGGCCTGCCACAGGTCTCCTTAAGAGATGTCTCTGCTGGCGCCCTTACCTGGCCCCAAATCTTCAAAAATCTGGAGAGCCCAATTGCCTGCTCGAACGACTTCCAAGTGGCTATTATGTTTCCTACCCAAGGTAATTGGCTTTACCAGTTATTAATGGATTACCCTCCAAAGAAAAATGTAGGGGGCGGTCAGGACAACACCTCCCAGCTTTGTAGTTTGGGTCTTCACTGTCCAGCGGCCACTTCCCAGGCTGGGAGTCCCTTGGGAGATGACAGAGTGGCTGTTTGGGCACACCACTCTAGTTTCATGGCTGCTGGCACTCCCATGGGTTGAGAGGAAGCTAGGATGATGGAGCACGTCCCTAGAGGAAGTCTTGGCTTGAGGCATGGAAGCCACAGGGTGGCTCACATGGCCATTTTGTCAGTCTGGGTTGAAAAGCAGACACCTGCCCTGCAATTTTGATTGTAAATCAGTGGCTTGGCCAGTGCCTGTCCTAACATCTCCCTAGTCATAACTCGCAGGCCAAGTCCCCCCTTCCTCCTGCCCCCCGCCAAAGCCCCTGGCTTCTAAAGAGCCCTCTCTGCGGAAATCCATCTCCCCACTGACATGCTTGGGATCAGAGAGCCACAGGTGCTGGGCAGGGCCAGGGTGGATGGGCTGCTGCCCCGCATTGCAAACATGTCATTAGTATGTCCAGTCCCTCTCCCCCCATGCCTGACATGTAGGGACATGGCCCTGCCCTGCCCCGGGCTCCTGAGTGACACAACTGCTTTCAGCTCTCTTGCTTGCAGTTTAGGTTTTCAAGCCCTGGGTTCCTGTAGGCTTCCCCTCCCCTCCCCACCCTGCCAAATCCTCTAACAAAGGAGTGGCCTGGTTCGTAGGTTCAAGTTCTAGTCCTAGCACTACAGCCAGCCTGGCTCGTTGCACAGACCCTTCTCAGTGGGCTGGTGCCTGCCCTTAAGTTGAAACTCTGCAGATTGTATTTGTTGAACTTTTTAGGCCAGTGATGGCGAACCTATGACACGTGTGTCAGAGGTGACACGCGAACTCATTTTTTTGGTTGATTTTTCTTTGTTAAATGGCATTTAAATATATAAAATAAATATCAAAAATATAAGTCTTTGTTTTACTATGGTTGCAAATATCATAAAATTTCTATATGTGACACGGCACCAGAGTTAAGTTAGGGTTTTTCAAAATGCTGATACGCCGAGCTCAAAAGGTTCGCCATCACTGCTTTAGGATTTAAGAGATACTCTGGGAAAGATGGGCGGAGTGTTCCTCTCACCTGCCTCTTGGCAACGTCTGTCCTTGTCCTCTAAACTCTGCCTGACTCCCATCCCACTCCACAGCGGCCCTGGCTGCCTGGCCTCTGACATTCCCAGCTCTCCCCACCTTCATTTCAGGGCATCTCACCCACTTTCATCTTTTTCATGTGGTTACTCACCTCTCACCATTTTCTTTCTCTGATTGGTGCCTTTACATCTGCCCTGTGCTTGGACCATATTACCAGATACCCTGGGCTCTGAAAACCTTCAAGAACGCCCCCACCCCCTCAGCTCTGGAAGGGCATCACCGTCCAGCACCCAGCAGCCTGTTCCAGGAGACCATTCCTGTGCGATGGCTTTGTGAACTTCATGCAGCCGAAGCCTGAGAGGCTTGCTTCTCTTGGCCTCAGAGTTGTGCACCTAGAGCTGATTTTTTATGGTGGCAGAGACCATGCAGCTAGGTCAGAGTGGCAGGCTCAGCCATCGTCGAACCTGTGGTTTCTCTGTGCAGGCACAGCCCTCACCGTACTTCCCACTGGTCTCCCCACAGCCCTCTGATGGCTCCTGGCTGCTTCTCTCATCCTGGCTTAACCCCGGAACCCCCGGAGAATGAGCGCGGCACCGGCCATTGTGCAGCCATTTCCGCCACAAGTTCTGACAAGCCAGACCTGACTCTGCTCTCCTTTTGTTTGGCAGCTCTTTTGTGACTGGGACGGCTTGTTGTGGGCACTTCTCACCCCTAAGAATCTGGGACCTCAACAGGTAAGAGATTCCTGAGCCCACTGTGGCTTGCGGTGGGGGGAGGGGCTGGAGCTGCCAGGGAGGCAGTGGAGAGAGCTGGCAGAGCCAGCCCCCTGCAGGTGGCTGCCCCGAGATCCGGGAGAAGGCTGGGAAGCACCCCTGCCCGAAACTCAGTACAGCCTCTGCTGAGGTACCTTCTCATGTGGAATCGTTCTGTTAGCTTGGGGAGACTGTTAAAGTGATTTATAATTGGTAAATAACTTCATGTAAAATTTATGATAACAACAGTTTGGATTTATGATACTTTTTCTCCAGGGAGTGCCTATGTGGCTACATAAAATCCCATCTATCCTCAGAGATGGCTTTTCTAAAATAAAGATATTTTGGAAGTGGCCTACAGATCCATAAAAAGAATTATACAGAACAGTTAAAATACATCCAGGTTTTATTCATTTCTCTGTCTTGGCAGGCTTGACACACTCCCATCCGATTACCTGCCATTCTGTCGTATGGTTTTCAAAAACTTTTTATTTTGAAATAATTATAGATTCATATGAAATAACGCCTTACACAGTATAATATTAAAACCAGGAAATTGACATTGGTACAGTCCACAGACCCTTATTCAGATTGCACGTGTGTGTGCGCGTGCACGCGCGCAGGTAGGTGTAGTTCTTTCCAGTTTTACCCAGTGTGTAGATTCAGGTAATCACTGCTGCAAAAGATACAGAACTGTTTGTTCCATTAGCACAAAGATCCCTCATTTACCCTTTATAATCATACCCATGCTCCACTCCCTGTAGTCCCTCATCCCTGGCAACCACTTGTGTTCCTCATCTCTATAATTTTTCCATTTTGAAAGTATAAAATAAGTGAAATAATATAGTATGTAATCTTTTGATATGTCCCCCCAGCATAATTCTCTTGAGACCCATAGAAGTTGTTACATGTATAAATAGCACTTTACTTTTTATTGCTAAATATAGTATACTAGAGGCCCAGTGCACGAAATTTGTGCATGGGTAGGGTCCCTAGGCCTGGCCAGCGATCAGGGCTGATCGGGGCCTTCCTTCTGGCTGCCAGCCAGGGCCTCCCTTCGTTTCGCGCCAACCCCTGGTGGTCAGCACACATCATAGTGAGTGATCCAACTCCCAGTCGGTCGAACTCCCAAGGGGACACTTTGCATATTAGGCTTTTATATATATATATAGATTCTCAGGTATGGATGTAACCAAGTTTCTTTCCCCATTGAACAGAATTCACCCATTGAAGGGCATTTGGGTTGTTTTCAGTTTTTTAACTATTGCAAATAGAGTTGTAATGAACATTTGTGTGTAGGCTTTTGTGTGGACTTACGATTTTATTTCTTGGGATTAATGCCCAGGAGTACAATTGCTGGGTCATTTGGTAAGCGTATGTTTAGTATTACCTGCCAGATTGTTTTGAGTATCTTAACTATTTTATATTCTGACCCTAGTGTATGAAAATCTAGTTTCTTCACATCCTCAATGGCATTAGGTATTGTCAATACTTTTTTTTCCCCCGTCAAGTGTAAGAACTCTTCACCTCACCCTAAGCACCTACAGTCTGGCTTCAATGCCATAATGAGCAATGAGGATGTGCTCATCTTGCCTTTCCCTTGCCTCAGTTGCTCTAGCTTGTCTTCTCCTTTTGTCTCCATCTTCCCAGAAAAGTCTTAGCCATATCTTTTTTCCTGAAGTATCCATTGTGTTGTCAGTTTTTGTAAAATATTTTTTATAACACATGATAATTAAATAAGGTTTTCTCTACAACATTCTCTTGATGATCATCCAGCTGCAGGGGTAGGAAACTCGCAACTTCACCAAATACCACATTACATCCTTGGCCAGCTCTGAGAGCGCCTCCCGTCATCGAGGGTTGATCTGCTTCCTGGAGGTGTGATCCCAACACGAAGCAAGTTGAACCTCTCCTCTGAAGATAGGCCTTTAGATTTCAGAAACCTTTGGTCTTGCTCCTCCGGGGTCTTCTTCTTTGTGGGCCAAAAGTCCAAGACTCGTCAGTTGTTGCTCATAAACATAATAGATCAGTTGGGTGCTTTTGTCTGTAAGTATTGTCAAAGTGGCTCAAACAATAGAGGAATTATTATTATTGTCTTACATGCCAGGAGTCCAGAAGTTGGATAGTGAGCTGGTTCCAGGATTGAGGGGTTCAGTGGTTCAATGAGACCATGAGGCCCATTTTCTCTTCAGCTTTCTGTTTTGCCACCCGTCAAGGTGGCTTTTGCCCTTGCCCACAGGTTTGTTTACTAAAGGTCTTCCAATTCATAAGGCAATACCCAAAGGGAAGAAGGAAGGAAGAAGACATGTACTTGCCTGGGGTCCCTTTTTAAGATGAGGAAGCCCTTCCTAGGAGCCCCCAAGCTGACTTGTTATATTTAGTGAGCCAAAGGTGTATTCTAGCACTCACCCTATATCAAACTGTCATGGGAAATGGAATGACCCGTCAAGATTCACCTCTAGGCCTGGGGAAGAGCTCAGCTTCCCACCATGCACGTTGGCAGTGGGGGAGGAGGAGGAAGGCACATAATTAGGGTTTGGTCAGCAAGAAAGAAAGAGAGGAGTAGCAAAGAGCCCAAATGAGAATGGGTACAAGATACCTTGAAGGTTGAGTAATCTTCGAGTGTTGGTCTCACGGCTGTTTTAGGACCATTCTTACCTGAAAGTTTCTCTGATTTATCTGGTTTGATTCCCCTTAAAATGGGGTGTTCATAACAGTACTGAACATAGCAGGTGTGGGCTGATGAGTGGTGGGTGCTATCATTGCCCTTATTCCAAATCTTCTACTTTTGTTATTATAGCTGATTGTATCACACTGTTGCCAGCATAGCTAAAACTTCCAAGGACTCCTTTGTTTGTAGCCCCTGGGATGTTGGAGTTCCTGCAGTCTGTGAAGGTTATTCCCATGGCTCATTCTGCCAAACTCGTGCTACTGGCAACTTCTTGCATCTGAATGGGGCTGGGGAAGGAACCCCTCCTCTGGTGTGTGATGGGGAGGCTGTGAGGAACGACAGAGGGAGCACAGGCTGTAGTCAGACAGACCTGGGTTCTAGAACTGACTCTGCTGCTGATTAATTCTATGACATGGGGGGCCTTTCTGAGCCTCAGCCTCCACATTTGTAAATGGGATTTAATTATCCCTACTTAATAGAACCAGTATAAAAAATTTATTTTTAAGAAGTACCCACACAATGCCTGTCACCTTGGGGTCAGTCAACCACTCTAAACTGTCTACTTCCCTTTCTTCCTACCCATCCACAGCTGTCTCCCACATTGGTACCTGGCGTTTGTGGAGGCTCACCCTTTCAATCCTCTAAATACTTGTGGCCTATGACCAGTGGAGGGTGAGGGTAAACATGCTGACCTCATGGCATAGAGAAGGCACTTGACAGTAAGGCTGTAAGTCACAAAGATGGGCATTTCTGCTGAAGGTCAGTTTTACTGGACCTGGTCTTTGGCATCATCACTGGCCTGGGCCCAGGATGGTGGACAAGCCAGCAAGGTGAGGGGAGTGGGGGGCGCACTGCCATGGCCCATGGCCCAGCTTTATCTTGAGGTTGAGTAATCTTCGAGTGGCCTCTTTTGCCTGTAGTTGCCTTTGCAGGGTGGGGGGTAATGCCTGGGCACAGATTTATGATCAGGATGGAGTTCTGAGGCACCAATCCTTGAATGGCATTCTCTTATGAAATCCCTAGGCCTCACTCATCCCAAACACAGTTTTTACAGAACCCAGAGAGAACCCAAATGAAAATGGGTACAAGAGAGTTATGGCCTCGATTCTCACTGGAACCAGACAAGCAGCAGCCACTGCACCCTCTGGCCAGCCTGCCCATGGGTGTCACTTGGCATTGCCACCTTTCTAGCCCCCGTAACTCCCCTCCTCACCACTGAGAGCAGCCAGGCTTGCTTTAAACGTCTCTCCTGTCCCCAGGGGAGCTGGGAGGACCCAGTGCAGGGTCTGGGGAACGATGCCCCGGTGGAGGGAGGAAGTGGATGGTCAGGATGACTGTGTGTAGCTGTCTTTCCCAGAGAAGCCCGAGCAGATAATAAAGCCATGTAGAAAATAGGATTAAGGTAATGAACAGGCAGGACAGAGTTTGATCTTTCAATAACGCCAAAGCCTGACTGACAGGCCAATCTGGAAGGTGGAGCAACATCGCCGGCAGGACTCAGCGGTGGGGCGGTGTGCGGTGCTGGGTGGATTCTTTTGCTTTTAACCTGTCACTGCTGAAACTTGAGGAGCACTGGGATTTTCCTTTTATGTGTGCAATGACTTGGGGGGAGGAGTATGGAGGGGCAGTTTTGCTCTGAGCATCACCCCTCCAGGGGCTGCCCTCAGGATGGTGGTCTGGGACATAGCTTGGACGTGTAGGTGCCCTGCTGAGTATCAGTGCTTCCTCAGGCAGCCTAGCTACTTACAACGCCTGGGGACCCCTTTCAAGGTCACATGACTCCCTCTGCCCTTCATTCCATCAAGGCTCCTGGAGAGGGGAAGTCCTGGCTGGAGCACACAGGTCAGAGGGCAGCTGTCGCACACAGCCATTGCCTAGATGTCAAGGAACTTGGTGTCCCCCCTTCCCTTCCTCTCTCCTGGAGCTGGGGACCCTGGACTGGGCCCAAGTGTAGGATTTCTAACCTGTCTGAACCAGGCAGAGAGAAGGATGGAGTTCTGCGGCATCAGAACCTGCTCCTGAGGGTAGATGCTCTTTAGGCCCAGTCCCCAGCCCTCAGGATCTCCATCCTGACAGACAGTGCGAACAGCCAACCACTGAAGTGTCCTTAGCTAGGCCCCGGGGTCCCATCAAGCTTAAAGTACTGTGCCAGGGCCATCCTGTTCCCGAGCCTGAGGTCTAGAGGAATCAAGCATTGAGCCAGGCCAATGGCTAGGCCCCAGGGAAGGTGTTGTCTTTGTGGGGGACTGCCTCCCACCTGATGGAAAACTGGGGGAAGGGTATCTGACTGGCCTGATATCACACACACCCC